AGCAAAAAATAACAGAATTGAATTGAGAAATACATTATATGACAATAACAGTTGGATATTTCCATATCCCACTATGAGCAATATATAGAATAGACAGAAGATCAACTAGGAAATAGAGAACTTGAACACTATAAACCAAGTAGATCTATCAGATAGCTACAGAACACCCCAACCAAGCAACAGCAGAATATATGTTCTTCTCAAGTACACATGAAACATATTTTGGGCTGTAAAAAAGGTACTAATAAATTAAAAACAATTGAAATAGAAGAAAATATCTTCCCTGATCACAATGGAATGACATTAAAAATCAGTAAGATAAGAACATTTAGGAAATTCACAAATATGTATAAATTAAATACACTCCTAAGTAACCTGTGAGTTAAAGTTTAAATCACAAGGGAAATTAGAAAATGCTTTAAGATTAATGTAATGAAAACACAAAATACCAAAACCTATGGGAGGTAGCTAAAGCGGTGCTTGGAGGGAAATTTAGATTTGTAAATGGCAATATGAAAAAGAATAATGATCTTAAATCCATAAGCTAACCTACTACCTTAAAACAAAACAAAACAGGCCGGGCTCAGTGGCTCACGCCTGTAATCCCGGCACTTTGGGAGGCTGAGGTGGGCAGATCACCTGAGGTCAGGAGTTCAAGACCAGCCTGACCAATATGGTGAAACCCCAACTTAAAAAAAAAAAAAAAAGGGCCAGGCACGGTGGCTCACACTTGTAATCTCAGCACTTTGGGAAACTGAGGCAGGCAGATCACTTGTGCCCAGGAGTTCAAGACCAGTAGGGGCAGCACGGTGAAATCCCATCTCTACAAAAAATACAAAAATTACCCAGGTGTGGTGGCGCATGCCTGTAGTCCCAGCTACCTGGGAGGCTGAGGTAGGAGGATTGCTTGAGCCTGGGAGGCAGAGGTTGCAGTGAGCTGAGATGGCACCACTGTACTCCAGCCTGGGCGAAAGAGTGAGACCCTGTCTCAAAACAAAACAAAATAGAAGGATGAGCAAAATAAACTAGGAAAAAGAAGGAAATAATAAAGATTAGAGCAAAAATAAATAGAATAGAGGATAGAAAGACACCAAAAATCGACAAAATCAAAAGTTAGTTCTTTAAAAAGACCGACAAAACCGATGAGCTTTAGTTAGATTGATGAAGAAAAAAAGAGGGAAGAATCAACTCAATAAAATCAGGAATGACAAAGGGAACATCAGTACTGACCTTACAGAAATAAAAAGGATTATAAAGGAATAGTATAAAGAATTGTATGCAACATATTAGATAACACAGAAAAGTGAACAAATGTCTATAAAGACACAAACTACCAAAGATAACATAAGAAGTAAAGAATACAAATAGACCTGTAACAAGTAAAGAAGTTGAATTAGTAATTTTTGAATTTCTCACAAAGAAAATTTCAGGGCCAGATGGCCTCAGTTGTGGTTTCTACAAACCGTTATTTATTTATTTATTTATTTATTTTCAAGGCAGGGTATCACTCTGTCACCCAGGCTGGAGTGCAATGGCATGATCACAGCTTCCTGTAGCCTCAACCTCCTGGGCTCAAGCAATCCTCTCACCCTAGCCTCCCAAGTAATTGGGATTACAGGTGCATGCCACCATGCCTGACTAATTTTTTAAAAATTATTTTTAGTAGAGAAAATATTTCATTGTTTCCCAGGCTGGTCTCAAATTCTTGAGCTCAAGTGATCCTCCCACCTCTGCCTCTCAAAGTGCTGGGATGACAGGCATAAACCACCACACCTGGACCAAATGTTTAAAGAATAATTCATACCAATCCTTCACAAACACTTCCAAAAAAATAAAAGGAGGAAATATTTCTCAACTCATTCTATAAGTATCATATGAGCCAGTATTACTCTGCTACAAAATTGGGCAAAGATATCACAAGAAAAGAAAACACCGATCACTATCTCTTATGAATTAAGATGTAAATCGTCTTAATCAAATACTAGCAAACTGAATCCAGCAACATGTCAAAAGTATATATTATTACCAAGCAGGATTTATTCCAGGAATGGAAGAATATGATTCCATTCATAATAGCATCAAAAATAATAAAATATGTAGGAATAAGTTTAACAAAAGAAGTAAAAGACTTTAACTATAAAATTTTTCTTTTTTTTTAACTATAAAATATTATTGAAAGACATTGAAAACCTAAATACACAGAAGTAAATCTCATGTTCATCAATCAGAACACTTAATATTGTTAAAACGGCAATACTCCCCCAAACTGATCTACAAATTCATCTCAAGACCTGTCAATTCCAAAAGGGTTTGAGACTATCATTGAATCGGAGTCTGCAGGGCAGACCCCTTAAAAGAAAAGAAAAGAAAAGAAAAGAAAAGAAAAGAAAAGAAAAGAAAAGAAAAGAAAAGAAAAGAAAAGACCTGTCAAAATCCCAGCTGGCTTTTTTACAGAAACTGAAAACCTGATCCTAAAATTCATATGGACATGAATGAGATCTAGAATAGCCAAAACTATCTTGAAAAAGAAAAGAATTGGAGAAGTCACACTTTTCACTTTCACAACTTACTACAAATCTACAATAATCAAGACAGCATGGTAGTGGCATAAGAAGAGACATATACATCAATGGAATCGAACTGAGAGTCCAGGTTTTTGGCAAGGTGTTGAAACATGGGGAAAAGAATAGTCTCCAACAAATGGTGCTGGGACACAACTGGATATTCGTATGCAAAAAAAAAGTTGGACCTTTATCTTACACCTTTACACAGGTATAACACATTTGTATAAATACATCTTTATACAATATTAAAAAACAACTCAAAATGGATCCATGACCTAAATAAACATAAAAGCAAAAATGATGAAAGTCTTTGAAGAAAACCTAAGGAAACTGCTTCATGACATTGAATTAGGCAATGAGCTCTTGAAGATGACACCAGTAGCACAGGAAACAAAAGTAAAAATAGATAATTGGACTACAGCAAAATTAAAAACTTCTGTGCATCAAAGGACAATCAACAGGCAACACACAGAATGGGAGAAAATATTTGCAAATCGTATACATGATAAGGGGTGAATCCAGAATACATAAAAGAATACTACGACTCAACAAAAAACAAATAACTCAATTTTTAAAATGGGCAAAGGACTTGAATAGAAATTTTTCCAAAGAAGATATACGAATGGCTGACAAGCATAGGAAAACATGCTCAATATCACTAATCATTAGGGAAATGTAAGTCAAAGTTACAATGAGGGCTAGGCATGGTGGCTCACACCTGTAATCCCAGCACTATGGGAGGCCAAGGTGGGAGGATCACGAGATCAGGATATGGAGACCATCCTGGCTACCCTGTGTCTACTAAAAATATAAAAACTTAGCTGCATGTGGTGGCACATGCCTGTAGTCCCAGCTACTTGGGAGGCTGAGGCAGGAGAATTGCTTAAACCAGGGAGGCAGAGGTTGCCGTAAGCCAAGATCATGCCACTGCACTCCAGCCTGGGCGACAGAGTGAGACACCGTCTCAAAAAAAAAAAAAAAAGTCACAAAAAGACAAATATGCATGATTCCACTTAGACAAGGAACTTACCTACGGTACAGTAGTCCAAATCCCAGAGACAGAAAGTAGAATGGTGGTTGCCAGGGGCTAGGGAAAGGGAAAATGGGGAGTTGTTTAACGGATATAGAGTCTCAGTTTTGCAGAATAAAAATGTTTCCAAGATTGGTTGCAAACAGTATGAATATATTTAACACTGCTGAACTGTACAGTTAGAAATGGTGAGGATGGCACATTGCATGTGATGTGTATTTATTTTTACAACGTTTAAAAGGCCATCAAAAATTGCTTAATTATGTTTTCAGAAATGCCAGACAGTAATATATTGTTGTTTAACAGATTTGAGGCAATTTTAATTTTTGTGACCCTTGACTTCTATATGTTAACTTTTTTTTTTTTGAGATGGAGTCTTGCTCTGTTACTCAGGCTGGAGCGCGGTGGCATGATCTCAGCTCACTGTAACCTCCGCCTCCTGGATTCAAATGATTCTTGTGCCTCAGCCTCCCAAGTAGCTGGGATTACAGGTTCTCGGCACCATGCCCCACTAATTTTTGTATTTTTAGTAGAGACAGCGTTTTCCCATGTTGGCCAGGGTGGTCTCGAACTCCTGGCCTCAAGCAATCTGCCCACCTCAGCCTCCCAAAGTGCTGGGGTTACAGGCATGAGCCACTGCACTCAGCCTATACCTCAACTTCTACCTGTGTCTACCTGGCTGTCTATAAATTAACCCGATAGCTGTCCCCACTCGTATGTGCCAGGCTTTTCCCTATACAATTCTGAACAAATTTTTAGTGAGCAAACTGAAGCTCAGTAAGGTCCAGTAACTTTTCCCAAGGTTGTGCAAGAGATGGAGCTCCCATTGGGTCCCATTGGCCTGATCCTAAAGCCTGGGTTCTTCTCCACCAGACCTTATCTCCATTGAGCTGGTCTCATCCTAAGAACCACTTAGGGTACCTACAAAATCCAGATACTCCCTGGGGATGAGCAATTCTTTTT